ATTTTTTTTCAATATTAAACCCTCCTACTAACAAAAAAATCTAATATATCACTGAGCGGTATTTATAACCATTATAATTGCCTCCTCTTTTTTGAACCCTAAATTTTCTCCTTCTAACTTTCCAAGTAGAAAGAAATACTTCTAACTACTCAATGAAAAAACTTCAAGATTAAAAAAAAAAGGAAAGTTTAAAACCAAAAAGGAAAAATATCTAAACAAAAACTACAAAAAAAACCACATAAAAAACCTTACAAAGAAAGAAAAAAAAATGACAAAATAAAAAAAAAAAGAAATAAAAATGACAAAAGTACTATTATAACCTATGCTAGATTAAAAAAATATTATACATATGACTTCAGGATAATATATATCTTATATGATACTAATAAAAGCACTTAAACTAACTATGAACTCTTTCACAAATTAAATTCAATAATAAAAATCATCACATATTCCACACATGTTTGTTGTTTTTCTAATTCGCCACATCACAACGGCAACTTCTAAAAATAGAAGTGGTAAACAATATTGATTATTTGAAGAAAGGTAGCCAAATCTACAGATTTTTTCGAAAATTTTGTAAAAAAAACACTACCAGGATAAAATCAAATACAGAATAACCAAAGTTCTTAGAGAAAATAGTAAAAAACTCATTTGTTGTCTACCTAGGGAGCTAGAGCACCAAAACAACTTTGTTGACAGACAAAAACCAAATTGCCATTAAAATTTTCAACACAAGGGTGTCTCCAACTTGCTAGTTATTTTGTATATGAATGCTTTTGACTTGCATGCCAAAAGTAAACAAGGAGTCCCCTGAATAAAAAAGATTTACTTACAAACTGTTGTATAAAAGATGTCTGCTTCTTCTACTATATTCAACAAAATTTTTGTTTTTCATTAGCCGGAAAATTTGATACAAATGATTATCGGAAAGAGTTCGAATAATAATTTTTGAGCTAATTAATAATAGTATACTATAATATAAACAGAAATTTAAATATTTTGTATTTAGAAAAAATTAAATTTTTGCTTGCTAGAATAGTAACTTACTTTTATATACTATATAATAATTAAGTTTAACAATTTTACTACTATACTACTTTATTATATATTTTTTTAAAAAAATTATTTATAAATTTAAACAAATTTTTAAAAAACTACTACAGTCAACTCTCTTTAAGTGCATATTGCCGGGACCAGTACTTTGACCTACATTTAGAGAGAATCTGCAATTAAAAAAAAATTAAAATTATTAAAAATTTTATTAATAACAAATATAATAAAAACTTTAAAAATTAATAACATTTAATCTATTGATCCAATTTGGATGATTTAACTACCAAAATGATCCTCTCATAGAGTTGTTTTTAATGAAATTAAAATTAGCTAAATCTAATTACAATATATAATCTCACTTAAAATTATTAATAATTTGTATTATTTACTATAGTAAATATAACATAAACATTAATAATCTCGAGATCACGTGATCAGATTTGGTTGATTTTAGATTTATTAAAGTTGCCTCTATGAGAGGATTATTTTAGTAGTTAAATTATCCAAATTGGATCAATAGATCAAAAATTATTAATTTTTAAAGATTTATTATTTTTATAATAATAATTTTTATAAAATATTATATTACTGTATTATATATTATTAGTTTATATTATTATTAAAAAGAATAAAATATATAAATTTTAATTATTTTATTATCTAAATAAATATTCTCAAATTTGATTGGTTAATATATTAAAAATGCATTTAGAGAGAATATTTTTATATATATAATTTGAAAAATAACCTGCATTTAGAGAATATAGAACATGCACTTATTTTATAAGTTCTGACTTGGGACTAGGCTATTTTCATGCATATAGAGAGAACATGCACTTAGAGGGAGTTGACTGTAATTCAGATTGGCTAAAATTTTAATATATTATAGCCTAATATTATGTTTATTTTTAATAAAAATTTTAGCTAATTTGAATTGGTAGTTGTTGAAAAAATTAAAGCCAAAGTTGATAATTTCTATTAAATTAAAAAATTTTTATATAATAATACCTTTATATAATTGCAAAATTTTATTTTTAATATAGCTATAACTATATAGAGTATACTTTATATTAGTTATACTTCTATATAATCACCAGTTTTTGTATCCCAAAGGTGTTACTATAGAGAGGTTAGACTGTAGATTAAACTATAATAAAAAAAATGCCTTTATAAGATCTACAAATAGTTTTCTCAAGTGTTGCAAATAGTAAAACTAGTATTATAGTTATATAAATTATCACAAACAAATTATATATTTTAAATTTTATTGTTTAAACAAATTGTATTTGAAATTAATTCTATAACTTGTAATTAGAGTAACCTTTAAAAAGCACTCTTACAAATTAATAGAGATTAAAACAAACCCTTACTTTTAATACAAAAAAAATAATAATAAAATTTTCAAAAAATAAGCAAAAAATACAGTATATTAACAAAAATAACGATTTTAGAAGCTCTTGAATAAATAATTTAGTCTACATTAAAAGAGTGCAATTTGCAATACTAAATAGTATAAGAATTAATAAAATCCAATAATTATTTAATTTGCTTTTAAATCGTTTAATTTAAATAATTAATTTTATTAAAGTTGCCGTATACAAGACCCGGGTCTAATTCACTTTACCAATTTTAAAACCAAATAATTAGACCCATGGGTCTCTTGTATGGGTATGGGTCTGATAATTGGAGGTTTATTCTATTTTATTAGTTTTTTCCTATTTGTATCTTATATTTTACCCCATTTTGTAAACCCGGGTATAGTACATAGAGAGTCTGATATCTGGGGGTATACGGTAACTATTTGTATTTAAAATTTGTAAACAAAATTAAATTTCATTTATTTATATCTAGCACTAGCAAAAACTAATATTATTGTTATTATTATTTAAAAAAATAAATAAATAAATTTGTCAAAAGCTTGTTTAAAACAAATTCTAACACAACTTTGTATAAATATCAAAAAATTTTTTAAATCTTTAACGAAGATTGTTAAATAAACTACAATCGGTGAAACCTTTTTAAAGTTTATAAAAAGATCTTCGCTTAAAGCTTTTTTTTTTTTTAAAAAAAAGAATAATATAATAACAAATAAAATTTCAGAGAATTAATTGTACACCGAAAAAATCGTCAAATCAACTCATACAGGGAGATCTCAAAAATTCCGGGTCGGAATGCATCGGAACCCTGGTCGGATGGGCCAAGATCACTAAGAATTTTACTAATACCATGTCAGTAAAAAATGCCCAGTTGATAATTTTACTCCTGCTAATCAGTATAGCTAACCCTAATCTCGATACATTCCGGACTCGGGATCCTTCTGTAAAAAATCGTCAAATCGGCCCGCTAAATTTTTAGGTTTTGGTAAAATTCGCTGACAATCTACACATTTTCTACAGGGGGATCCCCAAATTTCCGGGTCGTAATGGCCGGAATGCGTCGGAGTTAGTGCTCGGTTAGGGTTAGCGGGAGCTATAGGCTATAGTAAAATTATCAGCTGGGCATTTTTCACTTAATGAACGACTATTGTTTCATTAGTAAAATTCTTGGTGATCTTGGGGCAAAATCGATCAACTCCGGCCCTTCCGACCAGAGTTACGAAGCTTCCGACTCGGAATTTTGGTAGGAGTTAGCCAACACTAACTATAAATCAGGCTAACCATAATCTAAATCGGGTCAGCTTTGTCGGCGAATTATACCAAAATTTTGTGGCACTCCGAAACGTTGCACAGAAGACGATTAGATCCCGCACGCCGTATTTTTAATTCCATATTTCCGATCTGTCGCCGGATTAAATATCGTTATCGTTATAATTCAATTCCGCGAATCTTGAATATGAATCAAAGAAATATGCGGGATTTTTGCTATTAATATTCTTTAAGCAAAAACAAATGCTATCACCTACTACGCCATTAAAAGTTCCGCTTTTTAAAAAGTTCACAAATATGGAATTTATAATATAATAATAAAGATTGATCATCAACTAATTCAAATTGCGTTTAGTATTTGTCAATTTATAAAATCGTTTTGTAATGCTTATTCCGTATTAAGCATAAAGGTTACCGGAGTTATTTTTGATCTCTCCGGATGACGCCACTTGATGAAATAAGTTCCTTTTTTATTATCATCATTGTGGCTTCGCATGTGATATTTTTACGTGTCCGGCCGAAAAAAAACGAGGAGGTTTTGAAAGAGAGAATGAAACAAAACTATCTAACAAAAATATATGCATTACATAAATTGATAAAGAAAGCTTTAATTAAATGCATAATATAATGTCTTTTTAACAATTTATTAGGGTTAGAGCTAGTGGTAAACGGGATTTCAGAATTGTGCAGAATGAAATTTAGTTTATCTAATAGGATTATTGAATTATATCATTAAAGGAATATAAGTAATTTTCTTTTCTTTTTAACAATATGATAGGGCTAGAGTCAGTGATAAGGAGGGTTTGAATCAGTGTTTGAAATCTATATACAGTATCTAATATACAGTATCTGCGATGCACAGATTGAAAATTCATTCCGCAAGCCAAATTTTCTTGGAGTTTGCGGATTTTATTATGTGTCATACATGTCGCGCAACTTTTTTGAAATTTTATTATATTATCAAGCTTTTCCACATTTTGAAACAAAATTAATTATCAATTGTTAGATCGAATAATTGATCTAACAAGACGTTTGAGATCTACATCATTAAAGGAATACAAGTAATTTCAAAAACCTTTGAAAAGATGTGTTCGGTGAACTCATTCCGAAATAAATGCAGTAGTTAGTTATTTTGTTGTCGCACTGATTTTTCTGATTGCTCAGCTGTCAGTATATTTCTCTATATAAGACCGCATTTTTTAAGTCCAGAAAAGACAGAAATTCTCCATATAAGTAACGCATTTTTTTGCAAGTTCAGAAAAAACGCATTCTTTTGCAAGTCCAGAAAAAACGAAAAACATGGATAGTCTTATTTTTGGAGGTTCACCCGAAGAAGCTTTGAAAGAAATTATGAAAAATCCACCTTACGACCTTACCTTACCGGTAGAAGAACTCCTTTCTTCACGTAAAAGAAAGAAATCTCAAAAACCACCTCGAGCGCAAAACAAATTTATTTTGTTTCGAAAAGATTATACTGCAAGGGCGAGAAAACAAGACCCAGATCGAACAAAGTTAATGAATACTCATGATTTTTCAAGAGAAGCAAGTCAACAATGGGAAGATCATTCACCTCAGGTGAAATTATTCTTTACGATCTTGGCGACCGTCGCCACCGAAAGGCATAAAGCGATCTACCCGGGTTACGTCTACGAACCCGAGAAAAAGAAAGATAAACCGGCATCGCCAATTTCACCAGTTTCGCTAGAAAACTTTATGGGTGAATCTTCGGACGAATTTGAAGAGTACATTGACTATAGTCAATGCTCGAAAGAGGTATGTAGATATGTTAAATTAAAAAATAAACGGACATATAACGATGAAAAAATAATCTGGTTTATTAACAGACAGACCTAGGCATTTCTGAAATATCTGGCAAGTTGAACGATGACTGCCAGTAAATTGTGTCAACGGGGGTATATTTTTTACCCATTTTCTCGTTTCGCTTTTTTTTTATTCTCTCTTACGCGTTTATTTCATTTGGTGGCATCATTCGTTTATTGTGTGTGCTTTGTTGGATTATTTTTTTTTTGTTTATTATGTTCTTTTTTTCGTTTAATTGTTCATACGCTCTTTTTTTTTCGTTCGTCGTTCGTCGTAGTCGTAGTCCGTAGTCCGTATTGTTATCCTAATAATAATAATAAAGTAACAATAACCCACCATTTGATATGAATAGTTCATTTTTATTAAAAAACGATAGTGATGTACTACACGATCACGTGACCGTGCATATACAAAAACGCATCAACTTTTTATAGAAGTAACAAGTTTAAAAATTAGCCAGTAACTTTTATAGAGTTCATTATGATTAACAAAGTTACCGGTCATATTTTCAAACTTCATTCTACGACGGGTTGAGTTAAATTGAAAGTTATCACGTGATTTAAATATCGGCTTCCAGCGTCATAATAAAAAGTTTTTTATTTCAACACAAAAAATTTGCTTTATGCTGTCAAATTGACTGACGACCATAATGGCTATGTTATATCGTCAGCGTAACCTGTCACAGCTTTCAGGCATGCCAAACCTAGGTATAATAGCGTGGTATGACCATTAGTACAAACTATAAATATTGATACTACATATATTGATATACAATACATACGTAAGCAATAGAGCATTTCATTAGCCATAGCGTCGGATTTAATTTGTACAGTATTTCAATTATTATTATTATTAAAAGTAATAAAAGCAATCAATTGTTTAATTCCATACGTACTATATTTATATTCAATAAATGAGAGATCGTCTATTAATTGAATAGATTTTCTCTCATATTAGTATATATTAAAAATATTAAAAATATATGTTTGTTTACAACAGATTCTAAATAATAAATTTGAATAGTTCAAATATTATAAATTGTGAAAAAAGTCGGGAAATTGAAAAAAATCTTTATCCATTGTATCCCAAAATAACATTGTGTTTTTCACTTAAATAAGGTTTGTTACACGAGATACCATATTAGTTCTGTATTGTGTACTTGAATGGAAATTTGAAATACGCTAAACAGCGATCATAGCCGTTTTTTGAACAACGTTATACGCATCAGCCAAACATCAGCCTGCATCATCTTGCACCCAATAAGATACGCGATACCGTGACAACAAAAAGAATCTTGAACCTTTGTTCTTTCGAAGTACATTACCTCTAAAATTATTTTTATTCAGACCGTTTTTTCTCATTCGGTTCTTCTAAATGCAGTGCCTTATCATTTATGGGTGAAACTTTATACCGGGGTACACAACATCTCGGATTATTACAATAGTAACCCGATATTTCTCAGAATATTATACAGTAATATCCAATATATATTTACGTATATTATACAGTAATGTTCAATATATATCTACATAATTCTCGTCATTTGAGTCTTTTAATGTTTTTTTTTCTCGAAATAGTTAAATATCATGTTTACGGAAAAATGTGTCCGTATTGGGATCGACATATGAATATGTCTCTTTGAGAATTTGTCGGTATCTGTGATCCGTCTTACGTTTCAAAAAAAGAAATACATTATATTTATAACTCAAGCCTTTTTCATTACGTTATTTTGTTTTATCAATCCACGTTACACCTTTCTTTACTTTACCTTACATAAATCGCGCGATATTATACATTCCATTGATTTTTTTTCTGTGAATTAAAGTGTACAAGTTTATTTTGGTTATTTACATGATTTTTGTTTCTTATTTTGAATCATTTGTCATTTTATGACCGGTTGTGTAAATTTTAGAATGACGAAAGATTTGTTCATCAGAGAAAAAAATAGTTGAGTGAGAACAATTATTTGACAGTCACGCTCGTAGTAAGCTGCCGAATATTTTTTATTATGTTACTAAAATGTACTGTACGTGTTTATAACTTCGAGACAATAAATTGATGACAGATCTGTTGTATACATTATCTATATTTTAAGTCGTTAGGACTTGGAAACATTTTTTAATTAAATTTTGCATGTATGCTTTAATTATTTTCGAAATATCTAGAACACAAAACTACTAAACTATATGTGTATATCCGATATTATAAGAAATACTGTATGGAATAGACATACACAAATATTGGTTCTGCTTTTTTTTTAGCATATATTCAAAAATAAACCTAAATTTCATAGGTGTGGCTATTATAAAATTAACAGAAAAATTCCTTAGAATATCGTCACTTTACTAACTTCATGCATAGATAAAAACTGTTACGCTGTTTTAAGAATAAAGACGATTTTATGGAATTTGGTTGGCTTGATGCAGTCTTAGTAAAAAAAATATATTTGAAAGTTAACCATAATGGAAATGATAACCGAGTTTGATAAGCGATTTTCAAATAGTGGCTAAAACAAGTTAATAGTGGCTGAAACAAGTGGCTAGTAGGGCTAATAATTCATGTGACACACACGAACGCGAAATTAAAAATCATATCATAAATTTTTTTTATTAAAAGTTTTTGAGACTCAAAAATAAAACCTAATATGATACATATCTTAAAATTGTTGTCAGTGTTTATCTTATAACTAAAAAGCATATGCTTTAATTTACGCATATAGATAAGACAATTGTCATTTAATTCAAACTAGCTAGCTATTGTAAAATGTACCGTATTTACCCAACATGTAGATGTGCCATGTAACGATTTTGAGATTTTGAGCCAATCTTTGGCGAAAACATAATAAAATATATTCATATCCATACAGTATATCACCCCACACCTAGGGTACTAAAACGAACTAGGGAAATACCCGGGTACATATGTTGGGTAAATACGTTAAAAACGTGAAGAACAAAAATCGTAAAAAAAATGAAAGCTTTCAAAATAACGAAAATATATTTATATGTAATGTGAATAATAAAATAAAATAAAGGAAAAAATGTTCGTTATATATATCAATGGGTTGGTTAATGGGTTTTTTTTCGTTTAATTATTACAATATGCATTGTAATCAAAATATGTATCAAACATGTCAGTATCAGAACCTATACTGTCATTGTTATCCGAAGTTGAATCGATTTCAACCACATGTGTGGTATCTTCTAACGATTCAGAATTTATTGGGGAAGCGGACTCCTCATTTTCATCTCTATTATCTCTTGATTTACATTTAGGCTGATATTTATAGTGAGGAAACATTTCCTTATGCCGTTTGTCAGCCTCTTTGGCCAAAACTTTGAAAAAGTTTTTTACAGTTGGTGGCTGCCTGCTCCACTCAACTTTGGCATTCTCTGAAATAATCTTTGCACTTAGTTTATTAGAACTATTACGATTTAATTGACGCATTTTCGTGTTATAGTCCTTTCTGAATAAAACAAAGGAATTTTGTGGTCTTGGTAAGTGCGTTGGACTTTTTCGACTTGGGGCTAATAAAAGATTCAAGGATAAAGTAAGATGATATGGCGGATTTGAAATCTGCTGCATAAGGAGTGAATCATTATCATGCTGAAGGGATGGAGATGGTGAGAAGGAAAGGGTTTCGTGAATAAATTGAACTTGCATTTTTAAAGGGATTTATACAATAAATTCTGAAAGGTTAAAGATAGTAAAGTCAAGATATCTATTGATCGAGAACTTTGCAATTAAAAAATACAGATATCCAAATAGATTTTATTGCGAGGTTTTGATTTTTTTTTGCTCTCGGTCGATGGTAAGCTCTCATCTTTATCTCCTTTTATATTAAAATTTCGCATTAGTGGCTAGTGGATCGTCATGTGCAATTGTGTCACCTATCAATACGTACGTACGCAAGGTGTAAAATTTTATGTTACACTATCCCCGGAAATAAAAAACAGTCATTCATTTCATTAATGTTTAAATGGTAAAATTAAGATTAGTAAATCTACCCCATGCATACAAAATTTCTAATTTTATCATTCAGTAAGTCAAAATAAGAGTGAATAAGAATAAATAAAAGCGAATAAGAGTGAATAAGAATGAATGTTCGGATCTTTAATAGCCACAAATTGTAACCTATGTTTTTTCTTTAAAAATTAGTGGAGATAATTACCCGCTAGTTTAATATTAAAGGAATAGAACATAATTTCGGTGCATGTAACAGACTTTGATAGGCCAATTTTAATAAAACTTTTAGTCTTAGAATAAAATCTGTGGAAAATAAATTAATAAATTTCAGTCGTCAATTCTGCATGACCTTGAGCATTAATGAATATATTAGGTATATAACCTAATATGTCTTAAACTCCTAATGCATACAAATATATAATATGTTCTTAAATTTCTGATTTTATTATATATTACAGTAATAAAAATTGTATATAGGTGCTAGTTAACATTTTGTTATACTTGTCGTTATTGAAAACTGTATAAACCTGAAACATCCATTCAATTCTGAGGACATAGATTAAAGATTATCATCGGCCGTTGTGATTTAACATTAAGCTTTACATGTTTTTCCGAAGCCAACACTCCGGGTAAGCTCACATGCATACGTAAAATCTTGTGTGTCCAATTGTGGAAAAATTCAAAATGTTTCATAAAATGAAAATGCTGCACCACAGGATTGTCAGATCATTGTCATACGTTGGAACACCCGAAAAGAAAATACCCCCTACCAACTAAAATAAAAAAAATTAGTAACTTTGAAACATAAAATTCAATATTCACACGTTCAATACAGATCACGTGCTATTGACATATAATTTGTAATAAATGATTTACACTTGAATAACGTTTATTAACACCAATCATGTATTTTACCGCTTTGAAAGCTCGGACACTTGTATTTTATTATTAGTATATATTGTCAATTCTTTCCCCTTTAGGATGACCAATGTATATTTATCGCAATCTAACACTTTTTCCTCATTTTCACGGTTATTGCCCAGAACCCCATCGGCTAGTTAATGGAGATGATACAGAAACAACTGAAATGGCTACAATAAAACAAAATTTATTTGTTAGAATTCTACGGAATCAATGAATTTTGCTGAATCATGCAATTACTTCCAACTACCTGAGTTTGCTCCGCTTCCGAACCCGAATACCAAATATGATATGGTATAACATATTTGCACGTACAATATAACTGACCGTTTTTTCCAGAGTAGACGCCTAAAAAACAAGCGTGTTCGTATTATTAAAATATATTACTTTGATAAAATACCATATTTGCAATTCAAGTATAATATTTATAGTTGAAACTGTACATCGTGTGAAAATTCTGTCATTAAGCAGTCAATAGGAGTAATATTCCCGCTATATTCCTTGGATACTTTATTAGATTTCACATAATTAAATAATTACACTGAAAAAAACACGTTTAAACTGTTCGTTCATTTATCAATTCTTTACATTTTTATATGACAAATATTGCTTTCGTGAGATACGAACCAAATATATATGACAAGTAATATTTTAAATAAATTTTGGATGACGAATGGCATGAAAGATACAAATAAAGTAAGTCTATTACTAATGCAAGATAAAGATGACAAAAGCTTATGCAAGATGCAAATGCTAATGCATAAACTTGCATATGGTCCTGGGTCTATTTTATTAAAATTTCCAATTATTTACTGGTCATTATATACTCCAGATAAAATTTTTATAGTTAAAATATATCCTTTAAAGTATCAAATTAAACTATTTTAAATGAACATCTATATTAAAATTTTATAATAAAGAATATAAAATAAGAAATTATAATACCAACACTCCGTTCTCCGGAAAGCATTACGTTAGATTGGGGCAACGGTTGTTAGCCATTGACACGAAAAATAATGATGTCAATTAAATAAATCTTTTACAATGTTCGCTTAATATTGACATTGACAATATGGACCAATAGGCATGAATATTTCATATCGATACTGTTTGTATTTTTATTGGACATAGACATTTTCCAAATAAAGCACGTGATTTTATAATTACGTATAATCAAATCCTGATTGATTATTATACTTTATAAGGCTATTCTTAAGCTCTCTTAAGCTCTCTTGATGTAATTTACTAAGGATCGAGATGCTACTCAATTATTTTAATTAATTGAAGTGATTCTTATCACTTAAATTATGTATTATTTTTTTGAAAATTTTTAATTTTTGGTTTCTAAAAGTTGTCTCTAATTTAATTTTTTAAAAAATCATTTTTATAAAAATTTATTTATATTAATTTGAGATATACAGTATATTTATATAATACTGTTTTTTTAATTTCAATTTTAATAGCCAATTATAAATATCTCACTAGTATTTTTTATTCAATTATTATAAAATGCACCTATGGTGTTCAACACCATATATAATTGTTTTTAATAAAATTTAGGGTCAGGAAGCATTTTTATAAATTTTTTTTTTATATATTATAATATATGTTAAATATAAGGTCCAATTTTAGTTCTTGTAAGGTTTTTTAGAGTACCCGATCCCATTTACTTAGTACATTTTTGAGAAATAGGGACCTATGGTGTTGAACACCATAGATGCATTTTAGTAAACTTGTTTTTATTTGACGATTTCTATTTGTACACTACAGCACTAGTGTATAAAACACGGGTATAGTCATAACTCAAAATTTTGCTTATAAAACCACTTTAGGGTTCTAACAATAAATAATCTATGCAAAATTTTAGTATAAAATACTCTCTAACCCTAACCCTAATATTAAGCAGTTTTTGTTTTTATAAATTTTATATATTACACAGATTTGCAAATTAATTAATTATTAATACCCATGTTTCATACACTAGTGTAGATTAAGAATTTTTTTATTTTTTAATTACTAGTTTTTAATAAGAATATTACTAACTATAACCAGTGGTAGGATGCTATATCTCAAAAATCTACTAGCTAATTCATGTCAGAGATACTATGCAAAAATGTTTAAAACCTACTCTAACTAAAATTTAAACTATTATATATAACTCTCCTATATATCCCAAACTGTATATTCTAACAAAAGCAGTGATGATCACCACCAGTTACTTGTAGCAAAAATCTTTTAAGAATTAACAAATAGTTTTTTTTTTTAACCTTTTTTTTGATGTTAAGATAAGGTTTGGTTTTTAACTTTATTACTATTAAATAATCTATACAAATATAAAATACATTGTTATTTAATTTGCAAGTATTAAAGCTTAGACTACTATATATTCTAGTTATCTATATTTAAAATCTATCTTTTAGTTATTTAGTTGTTTGAAATAAAGTGACAGATCTTTAATTTCTGCACACGGCAATGCAAAAGTTACTTTTTTGATGTATCAAATATTAAATATCAAAAAAGTAACTTTGCATTTTCTGTCTGTCTGATTACATAGTAAAAAATGGTATTTTTTTGAAATTAAGAATCTCTAAAGAAAGCATTTTTCTTTACTAAGCTAACCTCTTTTTAACTTATAAGTAAAGTTGTAAAAAAGTGTTTTGTAATCAATATGGCAGTTAAAATATTAAAATCAGCCTGGTAGATTATGAGATATAAGTATTTTAGTCTTTATAATTATATATATATATTTTTATTTATATAAAAAAAACATGCTATTTAGTTGTAAAAACTAAAATACTTATATTTTATAATTCATCAGGCTGGTTTTAATATTTTAACTACTATATTAATTGCAACCCAGTTTTTTTACAACTTTATTTAGAAGTTAAAAAGAGGTTTACTTAGTAGAATTTTGAAAATCATAATATTTTTTGGATTTTAAAAAATAGTGCACCTGTGGTGCATCCCTAGCTATATCTTAAAATTTTACTAGAATAACCTCTGTTGTGCAACTAATAAAAAATGATCATTACACAATTTTATCTAACCCTAACCTAAACCCTAACCCTAACCCTAACTTTAACTAATCATAACTTTACTTAAAATTTGCTATATTTCAAAATTTTACTAGGGTAACCCCCTGTTATGTAACTAAGTAAAAATGTTCCTCTTGCAATTTTACCTAACTCTAACCTAAACTTTAACTCTAACTTAACCCTAACTTTAACTAATATTAACTTAAGAATTTGCTAGGGGGTACACCATGGTGCACGGTGCACCAAAATATAAATTTCATATTTTTTATAATTTTATTAACAAAATTAGTGTTTGGCACAATCAAACAAAAATTTGATAGTTAAATACTTGTGATTAAGTTAGACATTAAATAATAAAATACTACATATAGTCAACTCCCACAATAGTCATACCCAAAATAGTTACATTTTTTTAAGACTATATACCAATCATTTAAAGTAATATAAAATTAACTCTCACTATAATCACATGATATAACTATTATTATGTTTCTCTTATTATAGTCATATCAAGTTTTTGCCAGACAGTGTAACTATAATGAAAATTGACTATATATATCTGATATATATATACTGTAGTATATATTGGTTAATCTACGATTTTTTGATATCTAACTTAATCACAAATATTTGACTATCAAATTTTTGTTTGATTGTGCTAAGCACTAAATAAAATTATTAAAAATATTTTTTTTATAAATTCAGCAATCTTGTCAATACTTTATTAGTATAATATACAAA